GGGGGGGGGGGCATTACAGGCATTACAAACTGGCATTACAAACTGTCCCCATAGTCGCAAAGATAAATCAGGAAAGGTTCACAATTGCATAAAACACTTTCATACTAAATTTGAGTGAAATCGAACAATATCTAAATTTCGACCAATCAGAACACAGTATATTGTGGCCATTTTGTCAAATGAGAAAACAAATGTCGCAGTTGAGTTTGCAATGCCATATTACACATACATACTAAATTTGAACGAAATCGATCTACTACGGAGCTTCGACCAATCAGTAACCAGTATATGGCAGCCATTTTGTCAAATTATAAAACGGATGTCATAGTTGAGTTCGCGGTACCATCATACACATACATGCCAAATTTGGAATGCATTGGAAAATATCTTTAAAACATGTAAAATTGGATAGGTGGCGTAGGCTATAGACCCTGGACCGTTTTTCTTTACCAAAAGTGCGTTGCGTTTCCGTTGCGTTTGCGTTCCGTTTGCGTTGAGTTTCCGTTGCGTTTGCGTTGAATGTGCGTTGAATATGCGTTTTTTCTGGTTATTTAAGAAAACGATCGATGGCTATGTACAGGTAAACGATCCACTATACGTCCCTGGTACAGGTAATTTTAAGAATATGTGAGTGCTGGAATGTTTTAATATGAAAAAAATAGTTATATGTATAATAAAGTTTGCAAATTAAAAAGAAAATAAATATACAAATAAAATAGATAAATACATGAAATAATCGGTTGGAAGTTTAGCAATGACATATCTATATTCGAATATTTGGGCTGCGTCGTGTGCTGATTGATGGATGCATGTCTATACACGTACCTTAATTGGCCAGTAAAATTATAAGTAGAAAATAATTGAGTAATTAGTTATTTGTATATTCTAGATATTTAATTTTCATACTTATATCATTCTGTTCATATGAATATATGAATCGAATTCAACTAAATCTACAAATACTTCCATCACTGCACGCATGGGCTGATGGTTTCGTAACGACACCAGGGTAGTCTGGATTGAAGAGAGGCTTATAATTAGTGCGTCTAAACGGCGAGTTTCATTTTATAAAATATTTGTAGTTTATCTCTATGTGTGTATGCTTTTTCGTTAATTCTATTGTCTATATTGTGGGTTTTGTTTACGTCCAGGTCGAAGTATGTAAGTCCTGCGCTCGACTCGCAATAGTTATCGGGGGTGCTTCCAGGGAGATTCGAGAGGTACAAGGCCCCTGCCAACATTGACAATATATAGATTTTGATTACATCATTGAAAATCATTGAGACCTAGCAATTTTACTACAGTAGTTGTGTATTCGGTATTTCTTTAAGCTGAATTAAGAGGACACATTATTATTAATTTTTAACATTTAATAAAATAGTTGATTATGGTTTTACCACGAATGGAAAGGCTTATAAACAAGTCATTGCATGTAATCTTCCTATATAGCTTGTACTTATTTTGAAATAGTTTATATCTGCTATATTGTATTCCATAAAGGGTACATACTGGTTTCTATCGGTATTAATCGACGTGTCCAGTACACAAACCAACAGCTACGACGTTGACACGTGCCTCAGGTATGGAGGTGCTATTTTTTATAGTATTCAAGCGGTTCCTGATTAGTTTGCACGATTACTAGTTTACCAAATTATACACAATAAAATACGTATTATTGTATCTCACAAGAAAATTACATAATGGGGAATATTGTCTGCGAATAGAAATCGAAATATAAAAGTTTATTTGTATCAAAACTGCAAATGTCTCATGATTTAGCCGTTGCTGTTTTACGTAAAGCGACACAGATTTAGTTACAAATATAGAGATGATTTGATTGTATTTTTTCAAACGCCTTTTATAAACTGTATTCGGGTTGACCAAACCCAGCGGTGTTTTATCACGGAATTATATTATCTAAGTCCGTGGTTTCATCCTCCAACCCTTTTTCACACACGTACATAGTGTAGATTGGTGTAGATTATGTGTCTTCCAATTTTCCATTTAACTGCAATGTCCTCAGTCTAGATAACAGGGAAATGTATAAGCAGAGACGTATATATTACGTCTCAGGTATAAGGATCAATTTCAAGAAAAAGATAAATAAAATGTGTAAGTACTGCCAAAGAGTCACATTATATGCAAATCAAAGTCAGTACAACTGCATCACCGGACAGATGAAAGGCAGTAACAAGGCAAATAATGCTGGACCCTGTTATGTACATTATATATTACCACGGACTTATCTAATTCCGTGATATTACTAATCTTTGTGAGACTTGAACGGACCGGTTCTCCCTCAGCAAGATTGTTTCAAATTTAAAATGTTTCAAGATTTTATAACTGGGGGTAAAAATACTCGGGTTGCTGCTCAATTTGAGCATAAATGATTGTACCGGTGCATGTTTTCGTCTGTTTCTATCGTATATCTACATATTGTAAAGAAAAGGGTGGGGTGCTCCTACGTTAATTTGACTTAATTTTTACTCAATTGCTTTATATTGTATATAGGTGCTCATCAATTTTTTTAGAGATCAATTAAATAATAAAAAGTATAATATGTACATTCACTAGATTAACGAATTATGTAAAAACACGGATTCATTTAGATAGCACCCTAATGTGTGTTCGGACACCCGCATTACAGCACATCATTTGCCTTCTCAGTAGAAACTTATTTCTTCATTAAAATGGTGGAAAAAATATATGTATGTAGTACTTTAAATATTACCTACACAAGCAAGTGACGACGGAATATATCATATAAGTAGCTAAAAAGCTTACATATCGAACGCACGATCAAAGTTTCCCGGTATAGGGCTGTTTTGACAGCGTTGAACTTGTGACGTCACATATGTGGGCTACCAATATCGTTGCGATCGCCGCTGAGCCAAAGGTGTGTTTTTCAGATAAATCACAATATCTCGGAAACGAAGTCAACTACGTCGGTCGCACTTTCTTAGCCTTTGGTTGTATTAAACGAAGTATTTCCATAGCTTGATATAGCAAAACGTTCAGGGTACATTTCTTGGGTGCGGTTAGAAGGAGGGGCGGCAATTATTTTGAGAA